ACTTCTCTAGCTGCCCCGGAGCCATCCTCTGGCTCCCCACACCCAGAGCCCCTCTCTAACACCCACACTTTCCCTTAGTCCCATTTTCCCCTGTCCCCATCTACCTTTTCAGCTCCCCCGTAGCTCTGGCTCCAGTCCCAGCCTCTGTGCCGGCTTCTGCAAGCTTTGGGCATTGTCTTTTAATCAATTAAGATCAATTAACCTAAAGTTACTCCCGAGCCTCAATTCTTCAGCCCAGGCCCCTCTAGTCTACCGGTTCTAATCCCGGTCCCGGTGACTTTCATTTCAGTAACTTTAACTCCTTACACTTCTACTTTCTTACCTTAACCTTTCCCCAGGTATCCCAAGTACACCAAGCACAAGCATACATACACATCACAACACCCAACTTAGGAACTCACCTGTGTGTATGTGGAGGTGGGTGGTATGTGTGTGAATTAGTGAACACACATATATATACACATATATAGATATCATTGTGTGTGTGTGTGTGTGGTATATGAATTAGTAATCCACGTATGTGTATTGGATGTGCAGGTGTTGGTAACTGGTAACTGATTCTGTCTAAATGTGGTATGTGTAGCATGTATGGGCTTAAACTGGTGATACGTGTGCATGAACCTAGACAAGTTATTTTGAACATGTATGTATGCCTGAGCTGGTAGTGTGTGTGTGTGTGTATGCACCTAATTGATTTGTGAGTTTGTATATGTGCAATTGTGTTACGCCCTCCTGTCTAACAGCGCAACATTGAGATCCTGAGAGTTGGCCTGACCCCACAGGGCAACAACAGAAGAGAGACCATTCTGTAACGTAGGCATGATTGTAACCATATCCTCCAATACTGAAAGCCTTGGACCCATTCCTATAAAGGTTTGAACCCCACAGATAGCCCTGCTGTGTATGTAAAATTAAGCACATGCATAGGTATTGGACTTGTATTTTAATACAGCCTACATCAGGACAGAATTATGCTCTGATCAGGTCACTCACAAAGACGGTAATTGTAGTGCAGATATGCTCTCTGCCAAAAATAAAGTTAGAATTTTAGTGCAAAGTAATTAAAAAAACAAAGGTAAGCGGGAAAATAGTAAGCGTGGAAAAAAGATCAATAATTTACCCAGGGCTGGAAATACAGGAGGGCTTGGGGGGGCTGAGCCCCCTCCCCCCATAAAAGACAAAAGCCCCCGTAAGCCCCTCCATAAGAGACGAGAGCTACAAGCCCACCCCGTGCCTTTCTAAACAGCTTAGGCAGTGGTGGCAGCTCCTTCCAGTTTATGGCTGCCACCACTACAGACCCCCCACAAGAGTAAGTGTGTAATTCAAACCCTGAATTTAGATATGGATACAGATATCCATCAAGGATATGTATCTATATCTATCAAGGGAAGGAAAGTTAGTAAGCAAAGATTTCAATTTGAGTAAATTAGCAGAACAAATTCTAGGGGAAATAGAATGCAATGTACTTAGAGACCTGGGAGGATAATTGTGTGTATTTGTTTTTAACCGTAAGTAATCAGGAAGAAATGTCCTGGGAATGAAGGAAAGAAGATTACAAGGAAATAAAAGGATTATTCATCAGGGAAAAGACTGCAGTACAGTTACAGACCAGCTCCACAATTAGATGAGGAATGTGAACCACTACTTTTTAAAACCTGTCTGGACACAAGATAATAAGCTGGACAAATCAAATGATTAATGTTAGTATGCATTGGCCTCTATTTTTAAGAATACAAAAGAAAAAAAAGAAGTAATTTTTGGGGGCCTTCAAGAGGAGGCTGGAAAAGCAACTAGCTGGGGTAATCTGACCCCAGCGGTCTTTCTTGCCCAGGGCAGGAGGTCAGACTCAATGACCTACTGAGGTCCCTTCTGACCCTAACATCTATGAATCTATTAATATAATCCATTAATTTAGAGACTACTGCAAGCATTATGGAATAAATTAAACTACAGATTGTAGCAGGCCAGCTGTTTAGAATCTAAGATCCAGTTTCACAAAACACTTACGCATAAGCTTAAAACTACATGCTTGTAAATTAGGATATTCTTACATCTGTCACTATGAAAAACCACTTAAGTATATGATTAAATTAAGCACAAAAATTCATAGATTGTTAGGGGCTGGAAGGGACCTCACAAGATCATCAGGCAGGAAAGACAACTGGGGTCAGGTGACCCTAGCAAGGTGACCGTCCAGTCTCCTCTGATTTCCAGGATAGGTGACTGCACCACCTCTGGGGGGAGTTTATTTCACAGTTTAGACACCCTGACTGTGAAGAAGTTTTTCCTAGAGTTGAGCCTGAAGCAGTCTTCCAGGAGTTTGTGCCCATTACTCCTGGTTTTCCCCAAGGGTGTCCCGGTGAACAGTTGCTCATTGGGCTCTTAATGTATTCCCCTGATGTATCAGTAAGCAGCTATCAAGTCCCCTTGTAGCCTTCTATTTTTTAGGCTGAAAAGGCCCAAGAGGCTGAAGAGGTGCTTAAATGATTTGCTGAACTGGGATCCTAATGAATAACAAATAAGTGTTGCCTTGTTAATAACATTATTTTGATACTGTAGTGCTTGCTGATTTGTTTTTCTCCCTTCTGATGTTGCGGGGAGCCCTATCAGGTTACAATACAAAAGAAGCAATGTGCCAAACCTTCTGTGTTGTTCCTAAAATCACAAATGAAGCAAGAATTTGATTTAGATTTTAATCTGCTAGTAACTGCCTAGTCCAAGTTAATACTTTATTTTCATGGTATATTTCATCATCCAATCACGAAACAGCATTTTAATTTAAATCGTATGGCGGAAAATGGCAAAATCTGACAACAAACCAAGTTGCAATGAGATGGAAGAAAGAGAAAGAAACTCAGAGGACAAATAGTTTATCTGATGTTGCCTTTGAAGCTGCCATCTTTGACAGGTACCTCTCCTTTTCTCACACTCCCCACTCTGGAACTGAGCGTAGGTGCACTAGGTGCATTGTACAATGGTGTGCAGATGGGAATGCAAGTCAGGGGACAGCCAAGC